GCGAAGCGCTTCAGCGAGGACGGTAATGACCTGAGAACCCTGCTGCATATTCTCAAGACGTTCGCCCAGGATATGCACCCTACGAGGCATCTGGTGGATGTTTATCCTATTTTGGATAAATTGCCGGACGCACTGGCGCCTTGGAGGGGTGAGGCGAAGGAGAAGCATGAAAATGAATTCACCGTAGGTATCTTCACTGTTTCATGTTGAAATGCACATGACGATGTCGGACCACAGTTTTACAGCCGCCTTTTGAGGGAAGTCAAGCAGCGCATGGACAACGGCGATAACCTCTAATGCTTCGCTGCTCGTCTCTGGGAAGATGTCGAGAAGAACGGCCTCGATGAAACTTCCATGGCCTATCGTAAGCACATCCCTCCTCCTGTCCCCCACATCTCCATACCTAAACTTCTGTGTTTTCCTCTTCCCCTACAGTCGCCGGCACCGCATTTGACAGAGAACACAGCCGGTAGCATCCTCTGGGCACTCGTCGCGATGCTGAATTACCCGGAGACGATGAAGAAGGCTCAAGCGGAGATCGACCACGTCCTCGGCCGGGACTCGAACATGCCCCCGTCGTTCAGGCACTTTCAGGACCTGCCGTATTGCACAGCCTTTGTTAAGGAGGTACTCCGGTGAGCTCTCTACATCTTCACCCATCTAAGGAAGTGAACGCTAATACCAGATTGTTCAGCTGGAGCCCCGTAGCACCGATCTCGGCCCCTCACCAGAGTCTCCAGGACGACGTCTACAAAGGCTACTTCATCCCGGCCGGCACGACCGTTATCCCGAACATCTGGGCGATTCACCACAATGAGAAACGCTACCCGGACCCTTTCAAGTTCAAACCGGAGAGGTACATGCCCAAGAACGGCGAGAAGCTGACTACCGAATCGTTGAATGAGGGCCATTGTGGGTTCGGTTTCGGGAGACGGTAAGCATACTTGATCTTGTTCATGCCATGAAGATTAGGTTGTGGCTAATGAGAGGGTGTAGTGTCTGCCCAGGTCAATACCTGGCGTCGAAGTCGGTTTGGATGGGTGTTGTGTCGCTGTTGTGGGGATTCGATATTTTGCCTCCGACGGGAGCAAGTGGCAAGCCAGTCTTGCCTGATCCGTCTGCGGTTCGCAGCGGCTTGACTGCGTAAGTGTCTCATATGCTATCTTCGAGCCACGGACTGAAGACTATTTGTTTCTTCAGCGAGCCCGGCACTTTCGACGTCGTTATGAAACCCCGTCGCATCATTGATGTCGATGCCTTGACTCAGGCCTGGGCTAACTGATCAGACCAATTGAAAAGTCTTGTTGCATGTGCGCGCTCATCGAGGTTGATGCATATGTATAGACGACGTGGTAAAAAAGAAAGGAAACAACGCGAACTCTAATTGAGAGAAATCGTGCTTGCAAGGCACGTACATCATTTGCAATCATTGACTTTGCGATGCGAGCACCTTTGAATGCATCCGCGAGAAGCCACTACACTCAAAGACTTCAATTAAATCCATACTTTGAACTTGGTTCTTCCTCCCAGTTTGAAGCCGATGGATATCACGGGCGAAGTGATGTGCCACTCCTCTACATGTGCCTTCTTAATCACATCTTGATCACGTCTATCGTTGCTGCCATCGTATCTTCAACATTTCGATATGCCGAGCCCTTTTTGCACCTTGAACTGTTCATAAAGCTTTGTGGCGACAAGCGCACCCTGGAAAAAATGATGAGACATCATATCGATGCACTCGCACCGGGCTTGTGGTTTCGCAGGGTCGGAATACACGATTTTACTTTTACATTGCTTCTTACATCCAGCTTGTCAGCCTTGAAGGAGACAACCAGAGTCAACTCCTGTGAGTCCATACTTCGCCTGCCGCGGAGAATTCGGAGATGCCTTATCGTACAAGGTACATGATACACATATCGTTGCTTCTTCTGTTCGCTGCATTCTCCAATCTTCTGGATCTACTCCCAGGGTTTCTTGCGAGGTTGCGACTTAGATTCGCTCGGAGACGCAGTCTGTTTCCGTCAACTTGAACGTAGCATTGGACTTGAGGGAATACTCACATTTAGCGCATCGGGGATGGTTTTGTTATTCGGTATCTGATCGGTCTTCCCTTGCTCGATCAGCTCCTTGAGTTCCGCGAACGACAGAGTGTGGGTCTCTTCGGGAGCGAAAACGGTGGTAAAATTGAAATGTTCTGTGCCGTTGGTAAGCTGAATGGTATCTGCGGACGCTGACGATAGTGATCCCTGCAGTGCCAATACGTCATCCAATGTTATGGACGTTTGGGCAATCCTATTTTCAGCCTGTTAGACATTGTTACAGAGAACTGAAGGGCGAGAACCTATTGAAATAGTAAATCTGCGACCGCCGCAGCAAGTTTTCCTGCTCTTCCTCCGATTTACCCTCTAAAGAGCCGGAGGATAGAATGCTAGCGAGACCTTGCTTGCGAATGAAACGTCGGAACGCCAAACTCACGGACTCACAGACAATTATGCGTACCTGATACGTCTGATCTTCTGCAAAGGGATACGAAAGAAACATACGGACAGCATCTTCAACGCTATTCGGCTCAAAGGACATGATGTATATATGATAAGATCGAGCACCAGAGTGTGAGTAATTGGGAAATATCGGAGTTCTAATTTTCGAGGATGGACGCCGGGCAGGCTGCGCATCCTCTATAAGGTCTGTATCGTCTATTTGCATTCCTCAAACTTTGAGAAATGTGGCAGTGAACTTTCATAACCAGTAACTGCAGGATACAAGTAGAAGAAGTGACGACATCACCTGTTAAGCTTACTTCTAAATGCTGAATTTGGAACGCAAATATCTTTAATACCAAATTATGCTTTCACGATTCGATTTGCTCTGAGTCCTGAGCGTTGAACGGTCTAGTCTTGTATCTTCTATGGCTTCAAGGATGATTTCGACATGTGATCTTATGGGTCCTGGAGACGCCGACACTCCGATTCTCTTCAAGGGCCTCGGTCGCTCTGATCGAAGCAAAGAGATTGGTCGGCTACTTCCGTTGCCCTATACTCTTTACGATGTCACTCTCACTTTCCCTGACCACTGCGCACGCAACCGCCGTCGTCTGCAAGTAACATGTCGAGCGGTGTGAGCAAGGTCGCAGCTGATCGGCATCAACGTATCTTGCTAGAACTAGTCGCTCAGCCAGGGAATGGTGCGTTTTGAGACTCACATTGATCGTGATAGATACTAATGATGTCCGGAGAATAGATGTGTGCGCGGACTGCAAGTCTAAAAATCCTCGATGGGCATCACATAATCTTGGAATATTCATCTGGTATTACGTCGTGGTTTTGTCCCAGACGCGTCCACGCACTGAAGACAACATGATAATAGTGTCCATTGCGCCGCTATTCATAGGAAGATGGGGACCCACATATCGAAAATGTGAGTAAATTTGAGCGCTGAATTTTCTATCCTTGATTCTCTGTGTTCTTCAGCAAGAGCTTGACTATGGATATGTGGACGAAGGAGCAAGTCGAGGTCAGCTTCTATGTACCTCTGTTCTGATGACACTCCCTTGATATGCTTTTTCACAATGCAGCATATGAAGAATATCGGTAACATCAAGTCGAATGCTGTCTATAATCCCGATGAGACTCGTAATCCACCGCCGACCAATATGATGGAGGCCGAACGGGACAGTGAGCTTGAGAAATACATTCGAGGTCCGTGTCGGTACTATGTCGTTTGTCTATGGTTCCGCATAATTATCTGATCACTTCATTAAAGCCAAGTACGAGTTTCGACGATTCAAGAGTCGCCCTGCGCAAGTAGCAGAACAACTCCTTGGCCCTTCACGATCGGCATCGAAAGTACCTCCTACCCGGTCTAAGACCAGTCCTTCGCCAAGTAGACCGACATCATCGTCCATCGTACCGGCCAGCAGTTCTCTTTCATCCTATAGGTCGCAGAGTACGAATCCTGCCCCTGCGAGCCAGCCCTTGAGGTCTAACACCTACGCGGCTCCCTCTACGCCATCAACCCAAACGCAGCCTCAAGCGACATCAGCGCAAGTGCAAACGCAGAAACAATCGGGCAATCCTCTGTGGGACGATTTGGTGTCCTTGCAGGCGCCTTCTGCGAACAGTACCCTACCGCTTCAAATCGCTTCACCTCCGACAATGTCAGCTATGCCGCAGCAGGGATTAGGTTTGCAGTCAATGAACAGCATGGCCGGGTCATTCAATGGTGTTGCCGCGAATCCGACTGGCTTCAATAGCCTTGGTACCAGTCTAACGGGCTTCAATAATCTTGGCGCTAGTCCGGCTGGATTCAATAGTCTCGCTCCTAACTCCACAAGCTTTGCCCCTTCTATGCCGTACAGTAATATGACTGGTTCATCCGTAAGCAGTCTTGGCGTGCCAGGGATGACTATGTCCCAGGGAAGTTTGCCCAATTTCGTTTCTGGAGCAAACCCTTACCATCAAGGTCTTCAGCCGCCGTCATCATTTACCGGACCGTCATCGGTTCCCACATATTCGCCAATGAACGGCGCGGTGAACGGTATGCAGTCAAACCCATTCGGGCAGCAGCAGCTGGCGGGAATGCCCACTTTCTCTCAACCGCAAGCTGGACTTAGTCCTTACCCGCAGCAACAATTTCAACCTCAGATGTCACCAATGCTCACAGGCGCACAGCTACCTTATCAGCCTCAGCCTCAGTCATTCTCTCCGATGCCTCAACAATATGGAGGATCTCCGCAGCCTCCGTTCGCGTCAACGCCTTCTCCTATACCTCCTGCGGGGATGGGGCAGCAGTTCCAGCAACCTGGGTGGAATGCGGGCCAGCCTGGGTATGCGGGAGGGCAGGCTGGGCAGTGGGGTGCTATGTAATGAGACTTGACGGACGCTACTTTGACGATGCATAGGATACTTTAGATTTTCTACTAATTCAGTAACTAGGGTTTTGCAGACTGTACTGAAAGAGAAACTGCAGATGGTAAAGCTAAGGGGGCCGGCCTTGGCAGAGCACCTGTGGCCAAATGGTCAAGGCGCCCGCTTCCTAAGCGGGAGATTGTGGGTTCGATCCCCACCCGGTGTAGGGGAAACATATGCTCTGTCTTTTTTTGCCTGTCTGCTCAGTGGCTCGCTCTGCTATCTTTCATGATAGCACACCTTCACATCTCAATCACACTGCTCTACTGTACTATGTTTCTACTTCATCATCTGATGTCATTTCTGTAGTACACGTAAGTATTGTCTCTGCGCCACTGACTGGCGCAATGGATGGGAGAACGTTGATTTATCAGATATTCAGTCTGTATTGCCTACAAATATGATATATAATGTTAGCTGATCCTTTACTCGAATTCGAGACCCCATTCCTTTTCAGTCTAAAAAAGCGAGGCAGCGCGTCCGTGCTTACACGGATCCTTGTGCCACATCTTCTATTCCGGAAGCAGCCCATCCTTTTCGTGGTCAAGACTGGAAACGTGGATGCACAGCCTGATAGGACATGTTCCCAAAGGCGCATGTCTCATTCTTTGGAGCCATTCTTCTGGTTAGAGCGAGCAACGCAGACAGGATACTTGCGGGTACCAGTGACCATCATTCGGGGGGTCGAGATGGTGTCTATTCGTTGGACTGTACAGGAGATCTCCTTCGGGCCAATTTTTGATAGCCCTATCGCATGAAAGAGCCTGCGACTACACTGCGAATGAGCATACCAATCAGAAGTGAAATCTCAGACACGACACGGAGACGTTTATCACTGGCAGGTGAGCCAATCATCGCCGGTACCATCATTTCTCGCCCGTATGGCGGTGAGCTACTATACTGTTGCAGGTTTAGTTCCGAGCTCAGCCATCTGATGAATCATACTAATAGTGAAGTCGTACGTACCACTTCTCGTACAGTGTAAATCTGAACTCTGTCTCAAGCTTCAGGAGCTACTGGTTCGATGTGGGCTTTTGAAACTAGCTCTCGGGCCTGCAGGTGTCGAGCTACACTAGATTGGTAATGAATGATCGGATAGTTATCGAGAAAAGAGCGAAGTCGTCCACCCTGGTCTGGAAGTCGACCTCTCGCACGATGGCACCGGCAAACTCTTTGATCATCGCCTCTTTGTTCTCGCCGATAGGAAATACAGAGCGATGTCATCAATCAGGAGGTTTCCTCGGAGAAACATAGATTAAGTGGATGTTTCAATACGGAGTCGCTGGACTCTAAACTTGGGCGAATCTCTTCATGTGCTAATTGTACACACCTTAGATCAGCGTCTGAAGAGCTCGCGAATATCCACCTCGCGATCCTGCCCTCAAGATCTGTTTCGGTGACGTACTGGATGGCCTTACCGACGAGACCGTTCCAAGAATGATGTGGTCTCTACAGTCGAGATGTAGTCTAGCTGTAGTTTTATTTGATAGTTCAACGTTCAAAGATCGAAGATATCATTCCCGCGCTGAGGACCAACCAAACCACCGGTAGGAATGGAGGATGGATAAGGAACTGATGATAACAGTCTCAGCACTCCGACCATAACGTCGGTGCGTGAGCGACTGAGACCACGTATCTGCCACAGGCTCCAACGTGTCCTCCCAGGAGGACATGCAGTTGAAGGAGCAGAGTACCTGTAGTCTTTTCATACGTGAGACTTGGGGATACGCAATCCTGCCTTGTGGTGCGCATGCACATGCACATGCTGTCCGCCTCTACGCAATGAGTGACGTGATGATACTCGTGGAAATTGTGGTTAGGCCTGCATACTACGTATCAGACCTTTGATCGCAAATGTAAACGGAAGCGAGGGTGTTACCTATCAAAATGCATGCGGCCGACATGCCTCCGAGAGTAGAGACTGTATATTGTCGACATGCGTGTTCCAAATCTGTGCAAGGTATTTTCCACCACAAGTGACATTCAAGATGATGCTCTCAGCATCAGATACGTCCGCGACCACATTGAATGGTCTGAAAACCACGACGATGCTGATATCAGCAAGCAATAATCTCCATTTCATTTAGTCCAATTCCGCCAACCCTCGTTTCGTAAAATCCACTGCGTCCATGGTGCAAGGGCCGTCATACAAAACTCGGTGCTCTGGAATTTGACCATCTTTTGTAGGGATCATCATGGAGATCGTCTCTTCATGACTCGGGTACTCAACGGAGTGACCGGTGGAACTGTTCTCCATCGTATCCATGACCAGGATAACTCTATTTCTTCATGACTCGGGTACTCAACGGAGTGACCGGTGGAACTGTTCTCCATCGTATCCATGACCAGGATAACTCTATTTCCTCCTGAATTGACGATAACCTTGTCACCGTTAGGAACAATGATTTCGGCGTGTCCTGAGAGGTACATCGCGAAGCTGTCTCGTGTGTCAACGCTTCACGAGTGCAGGGCACACGTGAGGATAACTTACTGAGGGGCATGGGTATGGTGGTCAGCGCTGGAGTAAGGGTAACCAATTTGATAGGTCACATTCGCGAAGTGACCCATTTCATGAGCGAGAGACATCGCTCCAGACAGTCCAGGTGCAGAGGATAACGCATTGGTAGGGGTCAAGGACCAGCACTCGAAGCTGGAGATGGTGTCGCGTGTGGTTAGGACGCTCAGCGCGCGGTGGCCGGTACCGGAGCACATATTGTGGGCTGCTGCACGTCCTCCTTTGTCCGATCACTTTTATAGTGGCGGCGGCGGCGGCGACAAAAGACCTTGGTGTTCACGGTAGTATTAACTCAGTGATTGGCTCTCGAAGACTTAGGAGATATCCAGGAGCCGGAGCCGGAGCGTAAATTCAGCCAGTTAGGGTAGCAAGACCGTGGATTACAATCCGATCAGGTCTGACCGTCCGAGATCAATTCGAAGGTGCTTGTCCATTGTAGGGGTAGTTATATCGCGCATGATCAAAGACGTCAAAGATAGCGTAAAGAATGTTCAGATTCCCAAGAGTCCAGCGTATCAGTCATGCTCGGACACATCCTCGTCGCAACTTACATGTACAAAGGGCTTTTGAAAGGCTCTGATTTCGATACTTGCACATACAGTAGCCTGTAAGACCCCTGTAAAACGCCCATATATATGTCCCGAGATCCACAATGCTTTCTGCCATAATCCCATCCACCGTGAAAAGGTGGTTCAAGCTAGCGCCCAGGGTTACTTGAAAATAAGCGCAGCGGGTAGGGCACATGTTCTTTGAGTCTGACCATGGTCTTTGTGGAACTTGGTATTGCCAAATATGGGCTGGCAAGTCCTGATCCCGAGACTTCGCGCTGAAGTGAGCAGCACTGAGCAAGAAAAAATGCAGTATCTCTTAGACAGGCAATTTATACGTTATAGTGCCGCGCCAGTCGTGCCTCGCCATTTTCTCACTGCCCAACGGGTAGGGTTCAATGATGCGTCCTCGAAGTCCGCGTATTCCCGCTTCCTTCTCTCTCCCACCCCCGCTTTCCCGCCGGGACTGTGCATATCGCCATCACCTTTGGCGGTAGTCAAGACTTTACAGGCCCTCTTGTCGTCTTCCATTCGTTTGTCTATATTCTTGTACGGTCGCAAGCCATTTAATCAACGCCTGTGGACATGGCTTCAAAGGATGGAGAGGGGCATTCTAGAGCAGCCGTGGTACGTGGTAGTCGCTGGATGAATGCCCTCAAGAGCTGATTCAATGTCCAGACGGGCACTGTGCTATTCTATCTTGTAGCGGCGCTGGCGGTGCGTGTCCTGCCACTGCGCCAATCGAAATACTGACTCGTTGTATTAGATGGTCATGGCGTATGTTGCACCTGGTTCGCCTTTTCTGACAAGACGCTGACGGGGTCGCAGAAACAAATGGGTCTTGAGCAGCACGGACGTCCCCCTTTTCTTCCTATTTACACAGCTCGTCATTGCCGTCATCCTCTTCCTGGTATCGCACGCAGCAGGTCTTGTCAAGGTACCATTGGACTTCAGCCTCCCTCGTCTCAAACACCTCGCGCCCCTTATTGCTTTGAACGTCATCGGACTTAGGTCTGTAATGTCCATCTGCTCATCTAAGCCATTTCCTCATCTCTTCACAGCTTCAGCAACTTCACCCTCAAGTATGTCGACGCCTCTTTCTACCAGGTCGCACGGGGACTCGTCCTCCCTTTCACTTGCCTCACCTCGTACGTCATGCTCTCCTCTCGCCCTTCGCTGCGCATCCTCCTCGCGTGCGGGTTCGTTACCCTCGGCTTCTTCGTTGGCGTGTTCCTCGACGGCACGCCCGTCTCTCCACTAGGCATCTTCTTCGGCGTCGTATCGTCAGCTGTGACCGCGACGCACTCGGTCATTATCAAGCGCACGTTAGATGTTGTCAAGGGGAGCACGCTCGACCTGTCGTGGTACGGGAACACGCTTAGTGCTGTCGCACTGCTGCCGATCGTTGTACTGGCTGGAGAGATACCGGGCGTGATGAAGCTGTTCTTTGGGCCGGCCGAGGAGACCGCCGTGGGCGCAGTCAGCCCTCTGGCTACATTCCTGTGGGGGTCTGCAATTACGGTGTGATTGTATCTAACCTTTGGTGAGATATACACTGATACACTCTGCAGGGCGTCTTCGGTTTCCTCATGAGCATTGCCAGCTTACTCTCCATCAAGGTAACCTCCCCGATCACCCACATGGTTTCCTCTGCCGTGCGCGGTGTCTTCGCCACTCTCCTTGGCGTCTGGCTGTTTTCTGACATCGTCACGACGTGAGTACGAACAGCGTGCTCTAGTGACTTGATACTGACATGCTGCGCTGTTCAGTGGACGTGCGGCATCTATCGCAACCATTCTCGGCGGCTCGATATATTACACCTGGATCAAGCATCTAGAATCGCAATCGCAATTGCAATCAAGCCCCGGCAAAGCCTACGAGAGAGTACCTTTGGAAGACGTGGAGTCCGGCAAAGCAAGCCCGCCCCACGTCAAGCCAGAGTAAACACATCCCATAAGTATAGCTACATAAAACAAAATACGAGTTGTTTCACTCATGTATAGACACTCACAGGGCGGACAGATAGGGTATGGATATATGGCGGTAATCTGACATAAAGCATAATATAATGATAGTTCCCAAAACATCCAAAAAAGCTACAGA